TTGCACTTAAGCACAGCATGGTACTCATTGCATTTAAACATACCACACTGCACTGACAGTCTTTAGTCTGTCTGTAAATAAGTCATGCAGTAGGAATGGAGGCAAGTAACAGAGCCCCTCTCTCCACCCTCCTTCAGATTTTTCCCAGATGTAGCAACAATTTTATCCCACAAATTGCTGATGTCTTTGATCAGTACCAATGAACACAGGGTGTGGCTCTCAAATGCTGCTTAACAGCAAGTGCCTCAGTTTAATTTTTTGTCTCTATATATATCTACAAGTATGGAAGAAAATATAGGAAAAAAAACAAGTTTCCTCCTCCATCAGCATATTCATTCATCACAAAGGTGACACTAGGTGGGTATTCTGGTATATTTTATATTCTATATTATTTTGTGGTGCAGAGATCATTTTTCAAATAGAAAAGCAGTCCACATAGTTATTTATTCCCATCTGGATATAGCTTTTGGGTCTGACTGAGAATCACCTGAGCTTCTTTATGGACTTAGGAATGATTCCAATGCATATGTAAAGGGATGCTGCTTAACTTTGGTATTGTCTCTTTTTCAAAAGGCTTTGCAATATCAAGCATTTTTTTCCATTAAAAGAGTGAAATCAATTTCCCTCTAAATGTGCCCCCCTTGGCATTATTGTGCTTTTACCATACTAAGATTTTATGAGCATGTCTGTTGCTTAGTGGTGTGCTTTCTGGACAAACAGAAATTGTGAGAAAGAGAAACATCTTTCTCACAGTTGATTCCTCTTTGTTGTTTCAAAGGGGCCTGTTGCTCCAAATAATAATATGTATGCATTATATATAAAGAAGTGTCTTCCATCTCTCCAGATTTTAGACATCCAGTTTTTCATTGGAAATTTCATATGCGATGATGTGTCCTCAACCTATTCCAATTGCAGAGTAAATGCAACTGCCAAGTGAATCACAAAGGGCCAAATTTGAAATGAAAGATGTTTCCAGGTTGGTTCCTCAGTGAACTGCACCATATATCACTTAAGCATAAATTTTAATTCATGAGCTTTCATCAGACTCCAGCTATGAGGCAGTGCCATGTTGACAAATCTTTCAGTCCACAGAAATTATATCAGTATACATATATCAGAAAATTTTCACTTATATTAGGAAGAAAAATATTTTAGTACTTACTGAAGGACTGTTTGGAAATATATATTTATGCTACTATATTTTGGATTATATCCTCTTGTATCCTTCAATGAATCTCCAGAAAGACTAAGGCCTGTATCTGGGTATGAAAAAAAAACCCAAGTAAATCTTTGGGCAGTGATTTCATGGAATATAGAAGTGGAGGTCTGAAGATAAAGGTATATATGCTTGTTTTCTTCCACTTTTCTTTTCTTTTTCTACTGATCTTACCTGTCCCACTACTGTAATTCATCTTTCAGCAAAAGAGAACAGTGTGTGGCAATGTAACAATATAGTTGCAGTAAGAAGGATGAGAACAATTCCTTTTTAAAAACACCTAAAAGTAAATATAATAATAAATTCCAAAAATCTCAGACTGTCTAGAGCCCTTTTCAGAATTTTAACAGCTTTCCTGAGAGAAGGGTTTCAGATTGAATATCAAACCCAAGCTTTTCATGCAAGAACGTAGATGCAGGTGAAGTTTCCACTCTGGCATGCTTCTAGGATGATAAATTATCAAATTATTTTCATCACTTCAGTCTCCTCATTTTTCATTAACTACAGGTATGCATGCATCATAAGGAATCCCAGTTGGGTGTAAACATAATTAATTAGCCTAATTTGTTGTGCTATGTAATTAAACAAACATTGTAATTGTCTGGAATTAATAAAAGTAAGACGAGAAGCTGCCTAGCAGATAGAGTCATAGGTTTTCACTGCTGCCAAGGTAAAATTTTAAAGAATGCTAAATAGCCTTAAAGGACTGAAGAGAAAATATTGAGAAATGAATTCTGCTTCTGTCAGATTATCTGGTGTTTCATATATTGCATAGAGATTGGGGGAAAACGAACTCAGTGGGGTAACATTCACCCAACTACTACACTGCAATACATGTTAACAGATCATATCTATATGTATATACATACTATACAACATTTTATTCTGGCCTATTTTAGATCTAACTATTACTAAACTGTCACTAGGAATGCAAATACACATATTAGCAAACCACATATTTGCAAATTAACATATACTTAGAGGTTTTTCTTTTTTTACAGGGTTTACCATATCCAAGAAAATATTATTCTCCTCATGTTTATAGGCTGGTGCTTGAGGCTAGAATTGGATATAGAGTGAAGAAAGAAGGGGAGGAGAGAGGGAAGGGGGGACGGGGTTGGACAGAGAAGTAGAACATCTTGATGCCCTATAGCCTGGATTTCTTTCTGCGTCAAGTGATGTCAATAGGGGCACATAGTCTCAGCAGTGACACACAGTGATGTGTGGTTAGTAAGGATTTAAACAAATAGCCTCCTTATATTCATGTAGACTTTGGCTTTCTGGTAATTTTACCCTAAAGCTTTGAGGTACCCGAATAGCAAAAGCAGTATTCCTTATAAATTTAATTGCTTCCTCACTTGCCTTGCACTTTTCTCCATTTCCCCCCTTAATCTCTATATCTCTGCCTGGATTTCCTCATACTGCCTTTCAGTGCCTACAGCCATAACACTGAAATTCTAGAACTACAGTTTTGTGCTATGGAACACCTGGGCTGGTTCCCTATTAAAGTTTTTAGGAAAGAGTTGTGTTTGTTATTTAGATCTAGGTATCATGAAGACCATCATTCTTTTATCCATATCACATGAAAACAGAATTTATATTAGAAACTACACAAGATGAGGGCCAAGGGAAAAAGATAAAGAAAAACAAGGACGGGAGAAAACTTTTTACACTATCTGTTTAAAAAGAAAATCCCAGCATGATCAGCCAGGTATACAAGCAAAACAAAAGTAGAGAGATAAAGAGATGCAGAAATCCTACAAAAGAAAGACTACAGAATATATAAGAAGAAGAGGAAGAAAGAGTTTAAAACATTGAGAAGGAGCTCTAGTATTTAAAAGGAGATCAGCATTAAGGCCAGACTAGGAATAAAGAAAAAGGGGAGTTTTATGAATGATAGGTGAAAAACAGAAATGAGATAAAAAAAAAAATCAACTGGGAAGATTTTATGTATTTGTGACAAAGAAGAAAAGGAAGACAAAATTGTCCAGATATCTGACTAAATGGTTTGGAACACGGAACAATTGAAAGCATGAGTTAAACACAAACAAGTTGTAAAGAAAATATCATATATGATGTCTAAAAAACATTTCATAGACTTTTTACTTTTTCTCACACATATTGTCACTTACTAATTCAATACAGAAAGTTTGGAAATACAGTAAAAAAGAGGATTGTCACAATGTTCTCCAGGCAGCTACCAGGAAGGAATGGAAGGCCTCTGGAAGGTGTTGTATTTACAGAAAAAGCTGAAGATACATAGAAAGCAGCTTTGAAATTCCACTTTCAGAGCCCAATTTGCCAACTTTTGAAGGATCAACAAACATACATGAGAATAACAATAAAGAAGAAAGAGAATTCATGGAGATAAAACTGCCCAGATTTTAATAGAAAGTAATGGAATATGGAAGTGATTAATGTAATATAATGTAAAGAGTGATAAAGTATAATTACTCCAGTTTGATTTGTTATGCATGTCTCAACGCTGTGTGTACATATTCCAACCCCTGCATTGTGGTCCTTTGCTTTCACTTACTGTTGATTTTCTGAAGCAGGTGTAAAGGAAGAAATAACTGCATTCACTTATATAAAGGTGGCCTTAAGAGAAATTATCTGAAATCTGAAAAGACACTTTTTGATCACTAAACCATCTAAAGCAACAGAAGACATGATCTCAATGTTGAACTGAACTTATTTTTGAGGATATCAAATAGAAAAGGAAGAAGAAACTAGGAAACTAAAACTGGGTGACCTGAGTAGTAGGGGGAAAAACGTAGGAAAAATATATGATGTGCGTTTGAGAATATCCAGAATATTCTCTGTTAAACTGCTGTCAAATTTTAAATTTAGAAAGAGAAGGAATTTCCTTGGATGAATACTTAAAAATAGAGCTACATATCACAGACTTAATAACTGTCAAGCTTCTGATTAAGAGCTATGACAGTGCCTTCCTTCCAAAGATAACCTGAGCCAAAGAAATGTAGCTTTTTCTTTAGAAGCCAAGGAGAAAGTTAATGAGTCTTTCATGGCCTTGCAAACATAAATCCTAAGATATCAGGATCTAATGATATGACTCCTAATTGAGCAAATGTCCCATGTATTTGCCTTGTGATCAATCATGAACCCAACACATGAGCAATCACCACTTAATGATGCGAAATCTGTTTCTGGACAACTTTGAACTCTGTAGGGGAATGGTACGGATACATCAACATTCCTCCCAAAAAGATGTTTTGGACAAACTCCAGCTTGGCAGATTTTGCACAGCACTTGCTATCTGATGAATAAAATTAAGAGAAAGCAACCACTCTTTACAAAAGAACATTAAAGGTCAATGGGCAAGGATAGCCTGGATAGATAAGGATGAGTTTATCCACATGAATAATATTAGTTATTAAACTGCACAGAATAGGTGTTCTATGTAAATAGTCAACTAAAAATCAGGTTGCAACGACTCCTTTCTTTTGCTTCAGTTGCCTATTGAGTGGAGCAGTCTCCCTGAAATCTTTTGCTACAATAATTTAATCTAGTTAACTCATATTGCTTATTAATATTTCTATTCCGTATAATAGTATATTTATATGTTTTATTCAGAATTAAAGCTTTGTGGAGTCATTGCTCTGTGATTTGCAGTAAACTATTCTGTAATAGGATTGGTTGAAACATACAAATGAACATGCAGAAATGACAGAATCAAACTCCAAAAATAAGGATGACTTTTCCATATTTAAAATTCTGGGCTTTTTCTCTTCATGAGTGACTACAGAGCTACAGGATTACTCACAGTGTGCCTGATACTCAGTTGTAAGTGGTTCTGGGACCTGTTAGTCATCTGCATGATGCATTTCCTAAAAAAGATGAAGATATCCTCTGTTGAGAACTGCACACTGACAGAAGTTGGTGAAACACTGAAGGGAAAGGCTACTTGCTTCTTCCAATAACACTTGATAAAGTGTTTGATAAAACTACATGCATATAATGATCTATCCATCCCAACACAATATCCACCCGCAATTAAACTTCTTGTGAGAAGTTATGCCTCTGATCAACATCCTGTACTCTCAGTGGTGAGTAGTTTCCTTTTGGCTTTTTACCAAAAATAATAACCAATCTACAAACTGAATGGAAGCTATTCCAAGTCAACTGCACCAAACTGAAAATGGTTATTAATCTCATTTCTCACACGGATTTCAGGAACTTTGCATCCCCTCTTTGAACTCTCAGAAAGGCAGAAGCATTTTCCAGTAAATATTTCCCATAATTGTTCAGAAAATGGTACATTGAAATTCCAGACACCTTTACTCCATGAAGCCAACAATGTTTCATTTGTGTTGCAAGACTAACTGGAAATTAAAGGGAAAGATCCTGGTTACTATGCTCAGCAGAGTGAGATGTTATAGGACACTCATGACATACACTCTCCAGTGTCATGAATCTGGTTTATAGAAAATGAGATGTGGCATCATTTTAGAAGAGGCACCAATTTTCAAGATACAAGAACAAAAGACCACTTTATCTCCTGTGAGTCCCTTTCCCGCATTTGTCAAGGAAACTCATTCTGAGCTCTGCAAAAGCAGTTGAGTTGTGGTTTTTTGACATGTAGAGTAAGAAAATTCACTGGTGCTGTATATACTGAGAACACTTTGAATTAGATGATTCTAAACATTCACTGAATACAAAGGCCCAGAGCATCAAAGCTGATGTTATATCAGACAGCCTTTGATCGCTTCCAAAGATGGTTTCAAAAGGAGGGGCATAAGGCCCACGGCAACCACCAGAGTCCACAATAGATGGCAGGTCATAGTTACTCATCAAGATGCACATCCCTGCCACAATTTAGAGCATACCTTTGCTGACTAGAAATTAAAAACTTTATCTTACTGGTTAGTGTGCAACTTGGGCCAGTCTCAAAGTCCAGTTTTCATGTAGGGAGTACAGTCTAGTCAATCTCTATCAATGGAGAAACAGAGGCTCCACTGGAATGAAATCCAGGGTTCTTACTTGTCCTTCTTTCCCTCCCTCTTTTACCAACAAGGGTTGGTCTGGTATCAGGTATGGTATCAGTCTCTGGCATGATCAAGATATTTACACAGAGAAGCAACATCTCCTGCTCTGCCCAAGCATCACTTTATGTTTGATAGATCAGAGCAAGACAATGTCCATGAACCTGTTTCCATTCTGCAGCTATTTCTGCTCTGCAAATACATTTCCCTAGCAATTATTGTTCTGTTTAAGCCCGTAGGAAATTGTGATAGCTATTTGAAGCTGAGGATCTTAGCTACTATCCAAGAAGACCTCCAAGAGTCTTCCAAGTTCTGACGCCAGAACCTTTCTTTCCTATCTGCAACTGGCACAATTTATGGCTCTAATAAAGGCTATGCAAAATCCATCCAACATCTATCCTTAAGGTATCTATGTTTGTCATTGCAGTCTTACCTGGAGAGCTTTTATAATTTACCAAATCATAAATATATAAAAACAATGTGGCATAAAAAAGTTACATACCTGGGGATTTATTTATAAGTTTTTCCTTTAAACCAGGTTCCTCTCACCATTTACCATATTTCATGGTCATCTCCAGCATAGATTTTCCCACATTTAAAACAGCAAAACATTAATTTCTGGTTGATATCTGATTGCAGTCTCCTGGGATTATGTTGTCAGGAGACAACAGATGGACCATCCCATTTTCTTACTGCTCATGGGCAAAGTATCACAGACACCTGAAGGGACCTTTACTTTGAGATGACTAAACCAATGTTACTCATTTACAGACTGGACCTGACCTATGAGAATCTAGAATAAGTCTAAGCTAACATTTTGGGAGAACATGGAAATGGCTTAAATACATTTAAATAAATAGGAAACTTCCTGCAAATCATTGACTGATTTCTGTATGTTTCATTGTAAAGGATAAAAAATATTATTACAATAAGTCAGTAAGGATTTCAGCCTTGTCAAAACTGAAAAATGAACAGACTTTTCATAAACAGACATTTTTGGTAGAAAAAGTATTTGCAAACCACGCAAACAATTGTACATGTAATCTTGTAAAATACTTCTTAAGCCCCAGTCCTCTCCCATATTAGGCAGTATTTTTTTATCATCATGGCAGAGCTGGTAGAGTTGTCCTTCATGCACAAAATAAAAAGCCTTTTGAAAACTCACTAAAGTGCATGAACCTTACTTTTCTGATCTTGAGATGAAAGGCAGCAGCCCCTCATTTCTTAGGTAGTGTTATTTCTATTGCTGGCATTCCATCAACCACTGGAATGTGTGGCACACAAAGCAAATAAGTTACAAGCATATCTAAACATCACCTTCTGCCTCCCCTCATTGTTATGAGAATGGATTGTATTATACTCTGCTGCCCTTTGATGAGACAGATTTTGCTCTTCATGCCAAAAAACTTGTTTTGAACAAAAAAATAGAAATAAAAGCACTTTTTAAATAAAAGCAAGATTTTGCATGTTGGTGTTAGAAGTTACAGCAAAACAGAGAGCTCTCATATAACAAGTTAACACTAGATCCATGGAGGTGGAGAAGAGGGGATGAACTGCAGGGATCTGGGACTTGACCCATCCTGTGAAGCCGTACCAAGAGCACCAGGTTGAACCTCTGCTGGGACAACCCAGGTCTGATACTTCATGTTTTGTCAAACTCTCAGCCACTACTAACAGAGCTGTTATGTTGGGACACTCTACCTTAGGACATAATTTGCATTCTGACCTCCTTCATAACAAGTGTATAAAGGAAACTACAGAGGTAAGTTCATCTCTGCGTGCAGATTACTCCGTATCCAACCAGATGATATGTTTAACTTGCAGCTTCCCTCTGGCTTGTGTTACACAATCTCAATTTGAGTCAACTTGAACATTTGGCTCAAGACAAGCACCCTGCATAGAAATATTGCTTTCTTACACTCCTACTGGGTAGAATGAAAAATGGAAATATGACCAGACCCTTTTGAATATTTACTTTAAAGGGAGGAATGAAAAACCTCAATCATCCAAGCACTGTGTGCACTTTAGGCAATAACATCCTCTTTCCAGGAATGCTTGGTACATTATGAAGAATTTTTCTTTCAGTCTCATTGAGAGAAACTTTATTTAACAGATGTTATCTGGTGGCTAAGAAGGTTAGCAAAAGAATAGATGTGAAGATGAAAAAGGTTTGCAAAATTTGAACACATGAGCAAAACAGGGTTAGCTACTATACTGTTTCATAAGTTATACCATGTTAAAAGGTGTAATGGCATAAAGAAAACAAAACACTGTCTCTGGAACCAGCTTTGCTTTTTATAGGGCTTACTACTCTATCTAGAGATAAAAGGTAGGAATATAATATTTTTTGAACAATAGCTCAGCTAAAATAAAGACTATTTCTGTCCTGATTTTCACTCACTAATACTCTGGCCTGCTGGAATCTCGTAGACACCTGTGAAAGACAAACCAACCTGACAGTAGCACAAGAACATCTTGCAAGATATCTGACATGTGCTGAGTTTTCCTTAGCCGTCAGGTACCTAATGTAAATATTGTTGAGATACATGGTGACAACAGAATAGAATGTTCCATGTGACAAAGTCTTCTTCTCTTGTGTCAGTAAACCCAAATAGAAAAAAGAAAGGTGCATCTGTGTTTCAACAGCTGAAGTTTATAATACTAATTAATTGTATCACAAGTTCTTCCTCATTGAAGTTTTGAAGGACCATACATATTTGGAAATCTCCAACAATAATACTTCTCAAATAAAATATTTATCTGCTCTAATGCATTGGATGATACTGTTATTTAACTCTGTGCCATTAACATGACACTTTTCTGCCTCTTGCCAGGAAGGTTAAAGAGAGTGGAAGAGGTAAAAATGTAAGGGAAAAGATAATACCTCTTCCATGCAATCAGAAATGAAGAACTACTTTGGGAGTTACCTTCTTACATCTTCATTTCTAGTTCCAGTTGTTTGGGGAGTGGTACATACTACCAAATTAACTTCTGCACTAAGCATATGCCTAAATGTGACAAAATGCGTTCAACAACTGAATTCACATGCTTCTGGGACAAGATAAGACATTTCACTAGCCCACCTTCTGCAACATATGCTACTAATGACAAAAAAAGATCTCCCTGTCAGCTCTAAAATTTGGTTTTAATGGTATTCCTATCATGGCCCTCATACTTGGTCCTGCCCTATTGAAAAAAGGAAGGAAAATTTTCTTTTTGGCATAGAAGGTTATCTTTAGGCTGGAGGAAAGGCTTGGATTCAGGGAAAGCCAAAAAAAAGGTCTTGTCCAGCCAATTAGTTTTGTCTTCAAGGTCAAAAAGTCTGATGATTATCAGGTTATGCAAGTTACTATTGTTAAATGAATTAATGACTTACCTTTTACTGCTTATCCAAACAGACAAAAGAAGAGATTCCATACAGAGAAGTCCAAACTTGTGACACTGCCAGCTTTATTTCACAGCCTTGATTATTTCAAGTGAATTTTAAGAAACCCTTGTGAAACTTTTCTCCACCTTCTGATATGTTTCTTAAAAGCTGGGTTAAGAATAGATTTTCATTGTAGAGCACATTGAAACATTGAGTGTACCTGTTAGTTATTATGTTCACAGATGACTGATTTCTTTAGCATCTGGCAAATGCCAAAGTATTTCTTTACAGAACATTTTTTTTGCATCCTGTTCTTAATTGATTCATCTGCTCATGGAATTCTTCTTTTTGAATGTACAGGTCAAACCATGGGATTTAACAGACCTGAACAAAGTGGTAATTTTACTTGCTCCGTGAAAATTCTGAAGAGCTAACAAAATTTTCACATTCTGTTCCAGACAAACACAAAATTTAATGT